GGGCACGGATGCCTGTCCTGGAAACCCTGCGGCTTCCTCAGGGTGGAGCTGGGCAGGACCTCGGTGATAGAGATGGCAGGGCTGTGAGGGGCAGCTGGGGGCTCCTGGGGGCACCCAGCAGAGAGGGGGAGTCCGGTGGGGCTCCTCACCTGCCCTGCAACTTTCATTGTCCCCCAAGCCCCATCCCCCAGCAGCTGGGGAGAGGCACCGGGCAGGGTCGGGAGGGTGGAGGGGCCGTCAGACCCCCCCCTTGGCACCTGCCCTGAAGCCCCCCGGCCCTTCTCCGCTGTGCTTGGCCACACAGCGGCGCAGCCTCCTGGCCTGCAGCGAGCCCACAGGGCCCCCTGCAACCCCACCCACTTGGGGTCATTGCCGTCCCTGCTCCACAGGCTCCAAATGGTCAAACCCCAGGCCCTGTAATCCCAGCACTCTGGGAGCGGGCAGGAGCGATTGCCTGTAGCTCAGAGTTTCAAGACCAGCCTGAGCAACGAGCGAGACCCATCGTCTACCTAAAATAGAAGAGAAATTAAGTTGCCGCAACTAAACCGCACCTTATATTATAACAACAAACTTAGCCGGGCATCGGTGGCGGCCATCGCCCTGTAGTCCAGATCTACTCGGCGAGGCTAGAGGCAGGAGGATTGCTTCGAGCCCAGGAGTTGGAGGGTTGCTGTGAGCGAGGTCGACGCCACCGGCAACTCTAGCCCAGCGCAACAGAGTGCAGACTCGTCTCAAAAAAAAAAAAAAAAGAGGCCGGGCGTGGTGGCTCACGCCTGTAACCCTAGCACTCTGGGAGGCCCGAGGCAGCGTGGATTGTTCAAGGGCCAGGAGTGTCCCCACAACCGAGCACGGAGTGAGACCCGCTCTCTACTAAAAATAAAAGAAATTAATTGACCCAAATAAAGAATATATATAGAAAAACTGCCGAGCATGGTGGCCAATGCTGTAAGTCCAGCTACGTGGCGAGGCTGGAGGCAGGAGGATCGTTTGAGCCAGTTTAGTTTGGAGGGTTGTGTGAGCTTAGGCTGACGCCACAGCATCACTTAATCCTGGGCAACAAAGTTAGATCTATCTCCAACAAAAGGAAAGGAGGGGAGGGAGGGAAGGAGGGTGAGGATGGAGAGGGAGGGAGGGAGGAGGAGAGGAGAGGAGAGGACGGAGGGGGAGAGGGAGGCAGAGGAGAGGTAGAAAACACAGACCCTGGCCAAGACCGCAGAGCCGGGATTCCCGTCCTGGGACTTCCAGCCTGGCGTCCTGGATCTGGAGGAGGCTCCTGGCTTCCAGGGCGGGACCCCGCCCTGCCACCTCTTCCTGCCCACCTGAGCCTCCGCGCCCCTCACGCTCTCCCCGTCCCTCCTCCTCAGACGCTGCCCGTTTGGCCCCCGGACCAGAGCCAGGGGGTGTCCTGAGTCCCCGACCGTTTGCTAAGGGGATGACAGGGGCTGGCGTGGGGTGTGGGGAGCTGCGTCCACGGACAGGATGTGGCCCTGATGCCAAAGATAAGGCTGAGGCTCACTGGCCTCTCAGGTTTAAAGGGCGCTGGGCGTGGTCACGGTCCTTGCACTAGCCGCACGGGGCCCTTCCACCTGACGGCCCCTCTGCGCCCGGGCGGGCACAGGTGGATCGCACTGTGGGCACGTGGGGCCAGGTCCGCATTCTTCCTTTATTGGTGCCAAGTACAAGTCATGCCCTGCTCCTCCCGCCTTTGCCCCTGTCCAGCTCCTGGACCAGGTGGGTGGTGAGGGGGCTCCTTCCTCCTCCGGGCCTCATCTGGGCTGCCGGGTGCCTTCCGCAGCAGAGGGGGCTGGTTCCGAAGCCCTAGGCCCAGACCTCGGCCGGGCGGGCAGCCAGGGAGACCGGGTCCGGTCCAGGGGGGCTCTGGGCAGCGCCCTGCGGAGACAGGCGTTGGGGGCTGGGCACTGGGGCTGGGGACCCGGCACACCTGCCGAGAGTGGGCCTTGACCGGGGGTGGGAGGGGACGGGGGTTGCCAGGGGAGGGAAGGGCGGGTCTGGGAGAGGGACTCCCAGGAGGGGTGGGGTGGGGTGCGCTCTGGGGGTGCTCACCAGGCCTGCACGGGAGCGGGGTCGGACCACAGCAGGCAGAGCCGGCGCTGGGCGGGCGGGGACCAGGCGGTGATGTTCTCTGCGTCCTGCTCACTGCCCCCCTCCCCCCAGATCAGAATTAGTCCTGGAGCTGGGGTCTGACGTTGCCGACGGGGGACACCATGCCGGCCTGTCCCACTCCGCGGGCCCCCCACCCCGCAGGTCTCTGCCTACCGTGGGGCGCAGCCCGGCGCCAGCGCGCGCCCTCACCTGCGCTTCCCCACGAGGCCCTGGAGCAGCCGCTGCAGCCGCGCGCCCTCCCGCAGGCGGCTGAGCTCGCTGGTGAACGTCCCGTCCGAGTGTCTGCGGGCCCTGGGGCGGCGGGCCACACGGGTCAGGCCCACGTCGGGCGTGGGGGGCGCGCACAGCGGGGCCGCGTGCGGCGGGCGGAGGAGCGGGGTCCGGGACGCGGGCTCACCTGGGGGTCGCGGGGCGCGCGGCGGCCCCGAGGAGGAGGAGGAGGAGGAGCAGCAGGAGCAGGGGCGACGGGGCCGGGGAGGCCATGGCGGGGCGGGTGCCAAGCGCTCCAGGCTGGCGGAGCGCGCGCGGCCCCTTTATAGCGGCGCCCGGGAAGGGGGGCGGCCGGGGGCGCTCAGCACCGCCCCGGCTCCAGGCGGCCGGCCGCGCCCCATCGATCGGGAAGGTCAGGGCCGCCCCCCCAGCTGTCACCGGCCCGCCTCCTGCTCCCACCGCCACGTCGGCGCCCCTCAGGCTGGGGAAGGGTGGGGGCTCAGCTGGGGCGCAGGCGGGCTCAGGAAGGGCTGGGGAGCGCGAAGAGGGCCGTCTTGGTCCCGAGGGGAGGGCAGGGACGAAGGGCGTGGTGGTTCGGGACAAGCGGAGGGAACAGCACGTGCAAAGCCTCAGAGCAACACCACCGCGCCTTGGAGACGGGCCAGGTGGGTGCCGCGGGGCCAGGCGCCCCGGAGCGGAGCGGGGCTTGGGCAGGGAGAGGTGGGCGACTGAGGGCGCTGGGGCTGCTCAGCGGAGGCCGGCTGGGAGAGGTCGCGGTGGCGGCTTGCTTCTTCCAGAGCGGCGGGGCGCACCTGCCACCTAAGACAGGCCTAGCTCCGTCACTGCGCAGGGCTGCGCCTTTCCCACTGGACTGGCACTGCCCAGCCCGGGCACCCACCATTCCCCCGTCTGTCCCCGTGACCCGGCCACTCCGGGACCCTGCAGGCGGGATCACAGCGTTCTTGCCTCTCTGGCTCCGTCCCCCGAGCCGTGTCCTCAAGGCTGCTCCACGTGTAGCACTGTGGGAGTTTCATTCCTGTTCCCCGCTGAGTGACGTTCCACTGTGTGGACGGACCATGCCCACTCACCACCGCCTGTCCTCCCACCGGGAGCCGCCACCCCCCTACCCCCGGCTGCGGTGGACACGGGTGTGCAAACGGCTCCTGGACACACTGTTTTCACCCTTCTGGGTCGAGACTGAGGAGTGGCATCACCTGGGAGTCCCGCTGTAGACACTTTGAGGAGGGCCGGGCGCGGTGGCGCACGCCTATAATGCCAGCACTCTGGGAGGCCAAGGTGGACGGATCCTTTGAACTCAGGAGTTCGAGACCAGCCTGAGCAAGAGCAAGACCCCGTCTCTACTAAAAAAATAATTAGAAAGAAATTAGCTGGACAACTAACAAAAACTATTGTAAAAAGAAGTAACGGGCACGTAGGGTGCCCCATGCCTGTATCCCAGCCTACTCGGAGTGACATGAGGCAGGAGCGATCCGCTTCAGCCACAGAATTAGATTGCTTGACTAGGCTGAGCTACGGCTAGATTACAGGCCATGAGCCACCCTTTCCCGGCCAATTTATTCTTTTTAATTCTATTATAAATGGAATAATTTCTTATTTTCATTTTTGCATTGTCTGCTGCTAATGTGTAGAAATAGAGCTGATTTTTATCTGCTGACCCTGTGTCCTGCAACTTTGCTGAATTTGTTAGCTCTAACAGTTTGTTTTTTTTTTGCGACGAGCTCATCTGCTGCCCAGGCTAGAGTGGTGCCTGCGTCAGCCTAGCTCACATCCAACCTCAAACTCCTGGCTCAAGCGCGATCTCCTCAGGCCTCCCGAGTACTTGGGACTACAGGCATGCGCCACCATGCCTGATAATTTTCGCTATCATCACTACTATCTATCGATCTACTATCTATCATATCTATGTTCTAGTTGGCCAATTAATTTCTTTCTATATAGTAGGGATGGTCTGTCTTTCAGGTGTTTGATACTCATGACTTGGTCTGTTGGACCTCCAGATACTCAGTCAGGCGTGGCTGGTGCGCCTTTTGTAGCATTTTAAAAAGGATTGTTTGCTCATATTTTGTTGAGAATTTTTATATCTATATTCATAAGAGATATTCATCTGCAGTTTTATTTTTTGATATCATTACTGTTGTATTTTGAGAGTTCTTCATATATTTTATATACAAGCCATTTGCTGGATATAGGATTTGCTAATACTTTCTTTCATTCTGTGGCTGGAAGTTTTTAATTTCGGTGAAGTCCAGTTCCTCTGCTTTTTCCATTTGTAGATTGTGCCCTCGGTATCACGTCTGTAAACTCTGCCTGATCCCAGGTCACGGGGATCTTTTCCCATCTCTTCTTCCAAAATTTTTATAGTTCTAAGTTTTACATTTAAACCTATGATTCATTTTGTGTCCATTTTTATACAAAGTGTGAGGTTTAATCTTTTATTATCTCCCCTCTCCTCCTCTCTCTTCCCCTTTCCTCTCGTCTTCTTTCTGTTTTTTTTTTTTTTTTTTTGAGACAGGAGTCTCACTCTGTTGTCAGGCTAGAGTGAGTGCCGTGCATCAACCTCACTCACCCCTCAGACTCCTGCTCAGCGGCTGGGAGCACAGCCTTCTTGCCCTCTGGCTTCCGCTTCGCCCGAGCCGGCTCCTCAGGCTGCTCCACGTGTAGCACTGTGGGAGTTTCATTCTGGTCCCGCTGGATGAGCTTCCACTGTGTGGACGCGACCATGCCCACTCCCACCGCCGTGTCCTCCCACCGGGAGCCGCTCCGCCCCCTACCCCCCCGTGGTGACACGGTGCTGGTGCAAAGCGGCTCCTGGTACAACACTGTTTTTACCCTTCTGGGTCGAGACTGGAGGAGATGGCATCACTCTGCGGATCCCGCTGTAGACACTTTGAGGAGGGTCCGGGCGCGGTGGCGCACGCCTTATAATGCCCCAGCACTCTGGGAGGCCAAGGTGGTAGCGATCCTTTGAACTCAGGAGTTCGAGCACCAGCGCTGAGCAAGAGCAAGACCCGCGTCTGGCTACTAGAAAATAATAATTG